AGATGCTCCCCTTGTACACGTGCTCTGACTATTAAAAGATCACACAGTGTCCCAGCAGAAGATGGAATGTGATAAATCACTATTCTTTTTCAGGTAGGTTTCAGATTCTTAAAATAATTGGAAAATATCTCAGATATGGAGTAATAAATATTGTTTGAAGAAACGTGTTGTTCACTAGGTTCAAACAGAATCACTGACTGTACAGCCAGAAAAGCTGTTTTTCTGGGAACCAGAGTCACAGTTTCACCCTTTCAAGCAGTTCTGCATTTTCTGTCATTCTTCCTCCATTATCCCTACCATGGCTCTATCTGAAATCTTTTCTTTCTTGTCCGGGACCAAATATGCTGAAGGTCATTAAACTGAATACGGAGCTTCAGTCTGTTACCGAAGTAAAATTGGGTCCGCTTGCCCATAGGCAGGAAAGCCAATCTACTGACATCGGGTTGTGGTAAAGGAAAGTGCAGTGTTCATTGCAGGGTGCCAAGCAAGGAATTCAGGGCAGCTAGTACTTAAAAGACCCGAACTCCCCAAAGGCTTCCAGGGAAAGGTTTTCAAAGATGGGATGAGGGAGGGGGGTTTTAGGGTGTATGATCAGCTCGTAGACATTCTTCTGATTGGTTGGTGGTGAGGTAATCTGGAGTCAACATCATCAACCTTCTGGTTCCAACCATTCTGGGGTTTATGTGCTTGCAGGCTGCATGTAGTTAATTTCTCCCACTTGGTGCAGGTTTCAGTATCCGTAAAAGAGCTCAAAGGTCATGGCTCAGAATATTATCTATAACCCTTGAAGAGGAACTAAAAGTCCTTAACTTTGTTTAACAAGTAAACAATTATTATTTTGTCTTGTTTGACTGTTTTACTTTCCTTCTGGATTTTCTCACTTCTCTGATTAAATTTACTCTCTGGAACTCAGGGAATGATTTTAGCTAACGAGAGGATCTCGGTCTTTGTTTTCTTTGGAGAAAGAATTCAACAAAGAGACTAAGATTGCAAGGCAGGCACAGAATTCATTAGAAGCACAGTACATAGGAAAGCACAAGGCTAGCTCACGGGGTGAGCTGCGTGCAATAGGGGCAGCTTAGGCTGTTAGTATGGGGTTAATCTTCCAGGGTTTGGGCCAGGGTGACTCCCCTTTTCCCTCCCCTACGATAGTGTCATCTGCAATTCCTTATTTGGGCTTCCACCAGGCTCCATTTTGAATCTTTCCCAAGAACACCTAAGCAAAACCTATTGGGGGTGGGTGTCAAAATTGCAATGCTAATGATATTATAATGATATTACAATGTAGCCAAAGTTACTAGAGGACGACTTGAGAACACCCTCTGCGCATGTGTGGGGCTGGAAAATCTCCTTGACTGCAAGAATGTGGAGGCTGGGGTGGACCCTCTCATCTTTCATCCAATTAGGGCTCCTAGTCCCAACAGTAGTTTATCAAAAGGGTCAGCATGAAACCAGTTGCAGCAGGTTACCCCGAAGCCTATCTATCTCCTACCTCAAAGCACACGCTGGCTCCATGGTTTTCACCGTCAAGAGTTTCTTGCTGAGATGTTGCAAAGTTTCTGTTTTAGATGCCATTCCAGGGAATTCCCTGGCGGTCCAGTGGTCAGGACACGGCGCTTCCACTGCCGTGGGCTGGGGTTCAGTCTCTGGTCGGGGAACTAAGATCCCACAAGAGCGCAGCACCGCCCAAAAAAAAAAAACCCCAGCCATTCCTCCATGCACCGTGGCCGCATTAAGTGCAAAACAAGTAGGTGGCTTTGCTTCTGCTTAATCCTTATGCATGAAGAGGCTGTCCTTGGGCCTGTCCCTGTATTTCCTGCCTCCGGGAGGCCTAGGAGGCTACACTTTTTCTACAGACAACAGGCAGTCAGAGGACATGGGATGGGGGAGAGGAATCTGTTCTAGGAAAGTCCCATAGGGTCCTGTTAGGTTTCAAGTTGTTGAAAAGCGACAGCATAGCTGACAACTATGAGTGCACATAGAGTATCATAATATGGTGTGTCCCTTTGGATGTGTAGATTTGGGAACTTGCTCTGTTTCACAGTCTGAAATAACAGGTCACTAAACTTTCTGTAAGTTTTCCTGGACTGCTCTCCAGAAATCTGGGTGCGTCCCCTTTAAGAGCAGGGGACGCCCCGCCCATCGTTGGAGCCAGGGGACTCCGCTTCTCAGTGCCCCTGAAGGAGTCTCAAAGCCACTACCAGCCACTTAGGGAGTGAGTTCTGCTCCGATCATAGACAGAAGTGGTGGCAGCGGAAACTACATTACCCAGAAGCAGCTACGGTGCGAAAGCGGCGGTGACTGAGCCAATGAAAGCTTGGGGGGGGACGCATACGTGCGTGCTCATCATCTGGGGGCGGGACTTCCGGCGTTGTCTCTGGTAGTGTTTGGGTGGTTGTCGGGCTCTTCACCGGTTAAGGGTGTCGGCGTCGCTTGGTGGGCACCGAGGTGACAGAGCGAAAAGCGGGAGGAGAGAAGTTGGCCCTGCTGCCCAGAGGCGGCTGTGAGGCCCCCTGCGCCCGTAGTTGACGGCGGTGCCCTAGTTCCTGCCCCGCTCGCCGCCTCTCCCGGCTCCGTTCTTCCCACCGGCCGGTGACCGAGGCGGCCCTGATGAGGCCGGCTCAGGTGGGTGCTGCGTCTCCCGAGCCCCCACCTGGCCCGACCCCCGCCTCCGAGTTCCAAATCCGGAAGGAGGTGGGTCCGCTCAATTCCCTGCCGGTCAGCCCCAGAGTCCAGAACAGAGGGCGGCCTTGGGAGGGGTCCCTTTTCAACCAGTGGACTGGGGTGAGGGAGAGAGTACCCTCGGGGGCCGCCGGTGCACGGATTGCAGGTGCTACGGAGTCGGAAGCATTGGGGAAACCTGGGGTCGCTTTTGTCGGGGACAGAGGGGGACGAGGTGTCTCACCTGAAACGGCAACCTGAGCAGGTGGAATCCATGGAAGGCTGTGAAGGGGTTGGGGATGGGAGAACCGTGTTCAGAGTTAGAAGTTAAAAATTGGGAGAATAGGATGCGAATGGAGGCAGGGAGACTGCTGAGGAGACCACCGCGATAGACCCCAGGAGAATTATGGTAGGGGCTGGGCCAGGAAGGTAGTGCGACATTGGGAGATGGGATGAGATTCTGGAGAAATCTCAAACTTGGAGTAAATGGGATTTCCTGCTGCATAAAACATCTGAAAGTGGGGAGATGAGGAAGTCAGCGCGAGAAGCAGGTTCTGGGGGAAGATCATGAGTTGTATTTGGACATGTTGATCCTGACATGTATCAAGATGGAGATGTCACCAAATGGAGATACCATATGTGGAGGTGAACATAAAGTCTGGAAGTAGAGGAAGGGGACAGGGTTGGAAATATCAAAGGCATGGAGGGTGTGGACTGGACCAGGGCATGGCCTGGGGATCAGATTGAGGAGGGAGGCTTAAGATTGTTTTTTGTTTGTTTGTTTGTTTTTATTTTTGGCTGCATTGAGTCTTAGTTGCTTCAGCGGGCTTTCTCTAGTTGCGGCGAGCAGGGGCTACTCTTCGTTGTGGTGCCTGGGCTTCTAATTGCAGTGGCTTCTCTTCTTGTGGAGCATGGGCTCTAGGGTGCGCGGGCTTCAGTAGTTGCAGCACGTGGGCTCAGTAGTTGTGGCTCGCAGGCTCTAGAGCGTGGGCTCAGTAGTTGTGGCGTACGGGCTTAGTTGCTCCGCAGCATTGGGGATCTTCCCGGACCAGACCTCAAAGCTGTGTCTCCTGCATTGGCAGGCGGATTCTCAACCACTGCGTCACCAGGGAGGCTTAAGATTGTTACATGAGATGGGGCCTGTGGTGAGGGAGGGGCGAGAGTTTGAGGGGAGTACATGAGGGCTGGGTGCTGGCATCCCTGATGCTCCCTTCAGAAAAGAGCAGACCTGACATAGGAGGGCTTCTGGCCTGTGTCTGTAGGAAGGGAGGCCTGGATGGGGTAAGGAGCATCCCTTCTGTGGAGCCTGCAGTGTGTGCTGGTGTGTGTTCTCCACTTGCAGGCTCTACTGATCCTCAGGGCCACTCCTGATGGAGCAAGGGGAAGGTGAGCCAGAGTGGTGCAGCCAGTGGGTCCTAGACGAGGGCACTGCCAGCTCATCTCCAACCCTCAGGGCAAGAGGGATGATCCACTGCTCCCTTTTGAGGATTATTTAATGGGTAGGCCTGGTTGCTGAATGAACTAATAGCTGACCTGCCTGCTCAGCCCCTTGCTACAACTTATTAACTTAAGAATGTATGAGGGCTTCCCTGGTGGCTCAGTGGTTGAGAAGCTGCCTGCCGATGCAGGGGACACGGGTTCATGGGCCGGTCTGGGAAAATCCCACATGCCGCGGAACAGCTAGGCCCGTGAGCCATGGCCACTGAGCCTGCGTGTCCGCAACGGGAGAGGCCACAACAGTGAGAGGCACGCATACAGCAAAAAGAATGTATGAAAATTAATTTAAACACTAATCAATATTCCTCTAAATACATACACATAGGTAATTAGAAATGAGTCTGTTCACTCAGTTAAATTTATGCAAACACTTTGTAATTGGCTTGGCATTGATTTACTTCTAGGTATTTGGTTAACAATGCAAAGTTTTATATATGATATCCTCTGAGATCTTAAAAAAGCAGTAAAAATAAAGACCCCAGATTTCAAAACTGTATCACTTCAGTTGCACTGAAAATATATACAAAACCGTTGTTCCTATGGTCAGTCATGGCTGACACATGGTATGTACTCCTTACGTTAGATAACAATATGACCCCTGTGAGGTTGGAAGCCTTCTTAATCTTCATAAACTTTTTCTTTTCCCTGAGGCTCAGGGAGGTTTAACCCTTCTTCAGTGTCACTCAGCTAGTAAGAGGCAATACTGTTTTGTGAGGAATTGAGCTTAGACTCTCAGGCTGAGATCTAATTACACCAGGGTAGGGCAGAAGTGGTGGTCCAGCTCTGCTGTAGGATCCTGCCACTGTTACCCACTTCACATGGCTTCCTTCCCCCAGGGTCCCATGGCAGTGACAGAAATGCTTATGGACCCTGTACAGGTGAGTGGATGGGTCCCACCTCTCACCCATCCCAATTATCACCCTGATAGTTTTATCATCCTGATCTGTATGCCCTCAGGGGATGGTAGTGTCCCAGGACTTCTATCCCTTTTTTGTCTCTTGCCTCTGTAGACCCTGTGCTTTCACCAGGTCCAGGATCCTATATTTAGTCCCAGGTTATATAGAATAGTTCCATTTCTGACAACTGATGGGGTAAGATGTGGCAGAGAGTCCTGACTACATTCAGGATTCTGAATGTTCAGACAGTTGCAGGTGATACTGAAGTGGGATGTTCAGGGAACTGCAGGTCTCTGTTATATCTGGTGGGAATGGGGAGCTGGGATAGGGGTTCACAGGTATCAGGCCTTGAATGGTAGTCTGAGGTCCTCGTTCTCTCATCTCAGGTTGATGAGAGGTAGGGAAGGTTTGAAGCAGAGGAGGAAGGTGCTATGACTCATGTTTTAACAGATTCCCTCTGGCTGTAGAATAAAAGACAGACAAGAGTGTGAGTGAAGGCAGGGAGACCTGAGGGGAATTTCTGCAGTCATCTAGGTGAATGTTGGTGGTGGCTACACCTGAGTGGTGGCTATGGAAGTAGGGAGTGGTTGTTTTCTGGATGTGTTTTGAGCTAGAGCTGCCCGTGTTTTATTTATTTTTTAAAAACGTATCAGTATATTTTTAATTGAAGTATAGATGATTTACAGTATTGTACTGTCCATATTTTATGTAAAGGAGAGTGAGGGACTCAAGGAAGTGGGCTGATAGGAAGAATTGGGGATGACTTCAGGTTTCTGGGCTTGTTGGGAAGGATGGATGCCTCATCAACTAAAATGGGCGAAGTCAGCTTTAGGAGGGATTTGCAGGTGGAATAAGGAGAGTCCGTTTTTGTCCATGCCACAAATGTTCCAGAGACTCCCAAGGGGAGGTGTTGAGTGGGCACTTTTACACAGAGGGCTGGAGTTCAGAGGACGGATACAGGATGGAGACAGCCACAACAGAGTGGCTGGTATGTGGACTACGATGAAGCCGAAGGTAAGATTTAGGCGGCATCATTTCTAGTTTATGGTGGTGATGCCATTAGAGGACAAGGAGTGAGAATGAAGGGCCTCAGGACTAAGTCTGTGGGTTGGGTACCTGGCTGGTGGTGATGCGCATCACGAAGACAGATGAGGGAGCAGAGTGTTCTTGTCTGTGCATGACAGCGGGATGTAGGCGTGAGAGTCTTCTGAGGCCAGAGCGGACATGAGATGGATGTTGAGGGAGGAAATGGGATCAGCTAGGAGAGTCGCTAAACTTAGGGTGCAGTGACAGTGTGGGTGGGGAGGTTGGTGTACCTGGACTTCACGTGTGGAGAGAAGGTGCTGACTGTTTATGGGACAGTTCGTGCAACACGGAAGAGGGAGAGGGCTAAGGGGACATGAGGTCTCACATAAAAAGGGTGGCTGGGGAGGAAGGAAAAAACAGGGCCAGGTGGTGAGACCTTCTAAGAAGGGCTTGGGGCAGGCCCTGGCCCCAGGGGACTTTGGTGTTCAGGGACAGGACTGGGCTGAGTTGAATGCTGGATGCATTTCCATTCACTGCCTGGATTCCATGTGCAGAGTGCCCTATAAGGAGGTGAAGGAAGTGCCTATGGTGTGGGCTGGGGCTGTCTGTGGAACTGTCACTGTGGAAGGGTCAGAGTCATGAGGAAGGTGCAGTCCACCGAGTGAGATGCAGGTAAGGAGGAGTGTGAATGGTTGGCCCTGGGCCGTGGCACTGGGCGCTTGAGGACAGGGACGAGTCTGAATGTGTCTGAGGGTCAACACCTGGGGGACCCCAGGGAAACTGTGTGGCAGGAGAGGGGTAGGGCCCTGCATACAGGTCCACACCTTAGATGGTGGTTTTCTGCTCCCTCCCCCATGTGTTTTATGCTGTGTGCCGGACACAGTGATCAATGGTAATGAGGAGAGAGCAGGCACTGGTGCCACTGGGACCTGATATATCTTCCATAATGGAACGTCTGGGAGGAGGATGAGCAGGGATGGAAATGTAGGGGGAGGGCTGAAGGTCCTGGAAAAGGAAGTACATCAGTGATTGCATCCACAGGATTTTAACTAGTGGAGACGAGTGAGTCGTGATACAGAGAGGCCAATGACATTAAAAGACAGTTTTATTACTTATATTTCCCAGGAGGAGAAGGTACAGGGCTACCTGTAGCAGCACCAAATTCGGTCAGGAGGCATGAGCACAAGCTAAGGGACACCAAAGGTCAGAGCCTTTATTAGACTTTTGAGGGAAATGCAGGGAGGATTGGATGAAAAGTTTATGGGTGACTAGTTTGTATAATTCTGTGTACCTGGGGTATGGGAACTGTCCCTAGCTGTCTGTTACCTGGCCCAGGGCTGCTTTAGGGCAGGGGAAATACTGACCCGGTGCGTGAGAGTTAGTTAAGGAGTTGGTTGAGAGTATGGGCTCTGGATTGCAAGGGAGATGTAAACAAATTTGGCCATTAGTTTAGCCCTGTAATTAATGGATGGCAAATAGATAAATACAGAATCCACAAAAATATAGTTAAAACAAGAAGCTGTCCATGAACCAAACTCTTCCAATTTTGGCAGGACCGTGTGGTCTTTGAGGACGTGGCTGTGTATTTCTCCCAGGAGGAGTGGGGCCTCCTTGATGAAGCTCAGAGACACTTGTACCATGCTGTGATGACGGAGAACTTTGCACTTGTGACCTCCCTAGGTAAGGTCCACACGCTCAGCCAGTGTCCTGAGCTGTGCTCTGTTCTCTCCCTTTTCCCAGGGGGCAGCTCTGTACTCCCCACACTGAGACCACAGGTACTGCTTCCTTTCCTGGTTTCCTGGCATATGTGTTGTTGGTGCCGGGGCTGGACTGTGTGTACAGTGTCATTTTTCTCCCCAAGGAGCCCCATCCCTTCTACTCTGAGTCCTTCCAAGATAGGGCTCAGGAGTCAGAAATCTAGATTTTGTCTGAGACCCCTTCAGACTTGGCCTGTTCTTGGTTGGGTCCTCAGTCTAGATGCTTGGACTCTTGTTGTGCCAGGCCTTACCCCTTCCTCTTGCTGACATTTCTTAGGGCCTCCTGTGCCAAGAATTTTAGCACCAACCTAGTTACTAATTTGGGGAATGACTGATTGTTACTACAGTCTCCCCTGTGAAGTTCTTATAATTTTAGAATGCCGAAAGCCCTGTGTTGGATCTCTGTCTACATGTGCTGGCCCCTTCTTTTTCTGTCTTTCACGTAAGACTAACCTCTTTCAGGTGCCACATCAATGCTCACCTGCAGCAATGGGGAGGACTCTGGGTACCTGCTAGTCTAGTGTGGCCACTACTGCATCAATGGCAGGAGACACTCAGAAGTACCCGGGCTTGGTGTGAGGTCCTGGGAAAGGGTGTGATGTCAGAGCTCGGAACCTGTCCTGTGTTCACTATTGATTGATGCTCGGACCAGTGCCACACCTCATTTCTTCCCCACTCTTATTTCTTTTGTCACACTCCAACCACACTTTTGTGACTCTCACTTGTCACATGTTCTGTTTCATTGCTCCCTTTGCAGTGTTCAACATTTGACCTATATGTAAGATATCGTGAGGTCTGCATGTATCCTTATATAGTCCTTGAACTTTAGCATTTCTTTTGTATCAAGTATTTCTAGGTCTGAGCACAACCTTCGACACAGTGCTCACCTGTCACCAGTAGCCATGGCCATGTTGACTTGGAGGCCTGCCTCTCCTCCCTGCTCTGGTGTGAATGTTTGTGTTCCCCCATGTTCCATATGTTGAAAACCCCATGCCTAAGGTGACAGTATTAGGAGATGGGGCCTTTGGGGTGATTAGGTCATGAGGGCAGAGCCCTCATGAATGAGATTTGTGCCTTTATGAAAGGGACCCCACAGAGCCTCCTAGCTCCTTCCACCATGTGAGGACACTATGAGAAATCTGCAACCCAGGAGAGTACAGGCTGATCTGTGGGTTCCAGTCTCCAGAAGTGTGAGAAATAACTTTCTGGTTTTATAAGCCAGCCAGTCTGTGGTATTTTGTCATAGCATCCGAAATGGACTGAGACAGTAACTCATCCTTCAGTCCTTGCCTATTGTCAGGGCTCTCTCATCATGGGAGCTACGCAGGTCCATCTCTGCACAGCAGACCTTCCTCTCTCTGGCTTTAGTCTTTGGTGTGTCATTTCTGATGGGGCTGCCCCTTCTACCAAAATCATCATGCACTTCACCAGCATTTCTCTGCTTACAGGTTGTTGGCATGGAGCACAGGATGAGGAGGCACCTTCTGAGCAAAGTGTTTCTGTAGGGATATCAGAGGTTGGGACTCCAAAGCCAGATCCATCCACCAAGAAGGCCCAGCCCTATGAGATGTGTGACCCACTGTCCAAAGACCATTTGCACCTACCTGAGCATGACGGAATGTACCCAGATGAAGGGCTGTATGTTTGTGGGGCAAACCTTTTCCAGCACCAGAAGGAGCAGATTAGAGACAAACTTTCCAGAAGGGATGAGGGGCAGCCTTCATTTCTTAACAACAGCAACATTCACTTGGCAGAGAGGACCTTGACATGCAGCAGAGACAGAAAAGACTTCCCAAGCAGCACAGGCCTTCTGCAGCAGCCGACCCCTCACAATGTGGGGAAGCCACACAGGGACACTGAGTGTGAGGAAGCTTTTGATAGTGGGCAGAGTGATTACAGGTGCACTCAGTGTGGGAAAGCCTTCCGTCAAAAACAGATCCTTGTTGAGCACCAGAAAATCCACACTGGTGTAAGGCCTTATGAGTGCAGCAAATGTGGGATGGCCTTCATTAGAAAGTTTCACCTTGTTCAGCACCAGAGAATCCATACTGGAGAAAGGCCTTTTCAGTGCAGTGAATGTGGGAAATGCTTTAGGTACAACTCCACACTCATTAGTCATCAGAGAGTTCACACTGGATTGAGCCCTTATGAGTGCAGCAAATGTGGGGAATTCTTCAAGTACAATGCCAACTTCATGAAACATCAGAGAAAACACAATGGAGAAAGGCCTTATGAGTGCAGAGAATGTGGAAAATTCTTTAGGTACAACTATAGACTGGTAAGACATGGGAGAGTTCACAGTGGAGAACGACCTTATAAGTGCAGCGAATGTGGGAAATTTTTCAGGTACAGCTCCACATTCATTAGACATCAGAGAGTTCATACTTCAGAAAGGCCTTATAAGTGTAATGAATGTGGGAAATTTTTTAGGTATAATTCCACACTCATTAAACACCAGAGAGTTCACACTGGAGAAAGGCCTTATGAGTGCACTGAATGTGGGAAATTCTTTAGGTACACATCCACCCTCATTAGACATCAAAGAGTTCATACTGTAGAAAGGCCTTATGAGTGCAGCTTGTGTGGGGAATACTTTAAGTCCAAGTCCAAACTCATTAAACATTGGCAAAATCACACTGGAGAAAGGCCTTACGAGTGCAGTGAATGTGGGAAGGCGTTTAGGTACCACTGCAGACTCATTAGACATAAGAGAGTTCACAGTGGAGAGAGGCCTTTTGAATGCAGTGAATGTGGGAAATTCTTTCGATACAACTCCAACCTCATTAAACATTGGAGAAATCACACAGGAGAGAGGCCTTATGAGTGCAGAGAGTGTGGGAAAGCCTTTAGCCACAAGCATATACTTGTTGAGCATCAGAAAATCCATACTGGAGAAAGGCCTTATGAGTGCAGTACATGTCAGAAAGCCTTCATTAGGAAGTCCCACCTTGTTCATCACCAGAAAATCCACACTGAAGACAATACGAGTGCTGTGAATGTGGGGAATTCTTTAGATACAACTCCAACCTCATGAAGCAGAGAATTCACAGTGGTAAAGGCCTTATGAAAGGGCCTACTGTATAGCACAGGGAATTATATTCAATATCTTGTAATAACTTATAATGGAAAAGAATCTGGAAAAGAATTATATATATATAATATATATATAAACTAAATCACTTTGTTGTACACCTGAAACATTGTAAATCAACTATACTTCAATTAAAAAACAAAAGACCTTACAAGTGCAGAGGTTATGGTAAATTAGGTACTACTCCAAACTCCTAACACTGGAGAAGTACCTCATGAGTTATGTTGGAGTGGGCCTTCTGAGTACAGTGAGCATGGAAAGTTGTTTTGGTACAGCTCCCCACTCGTTAGACATTGAGTTCACACCAGATGAAGGCCTTCTAAGTACAGTGAATGGAAGTCTTCAGGTGAAATTCCAACTCCATTAAACATCTATTTCACAATGGAGAAAGGTCTAAGTGCAGCAAATATGGGTATATGCTCAGCCAAAACTCCCACCTCATTCAGCACAAAAAAGTTCACACCAGAGAGAGTATTGCAAATGTGGAAAGACTTCAGCAAAATGTCTGGTCTAATCTGTCCCTGAGAACTATTTTTTTTTCTTTGATTGTGGTAAAATATATGTAACAAAGTTTACCCTCTACCTTTTAAATTGTTGGGTGTAGTGTGTTTAAAAATTCACATCTAATCTCCAGAATTTTTTTCATCTTGCAGAAATGAAACTCTATGCTTGTTAAATGTTAACAAGCATCCCTTTCTACTCCCTACCTCACCTGGCAACCTCTTTTTTACACTCAGTCGATGAATTTGATTACTCTGGATGCTTTATACAAGTATAATCATACAGTTTTCACCTCTTTGCAACTGGCTTATTTAGCTCAGCATAATTTCCCCATGTTGAAGCATTTGTCAGCATTTTCTTCTGTTTTGAGAAGGAATCAGAATTGACCTAAGACATGGGGAAGGGTCCTGATGGTCAATACAAGTTTGCCTGATATGATGCTATTTAGAGAAAGAGGAGATCCAGATTTTATATGGAATATTTATTAACAGCTTTATTGAGGTATTGGCATACTCAATTTCATATTAAAATTGTAAAATGTATTTTCACATCTGTGTGCACAATGGGACTATCACCAAAGTCACGAGGGCTTCCCTGGTGGCACAGTGGTTGAGAGTCCGCCTGCTAATGCAGGGGACACGGGCTCGTGCCCTGGTCCGGGAAGATCCCACATGCCATGGAGCGGCTAGGCCCGTGAGCCATGGCTGCTGAGCCTGCGCGTCTGGAGCCTGTGCTCCACAACAAAAGAGGCCACAACAGTAAGAGGCCCGCGTACCGCAAAAAAAAAAAAAAAAGTCATAATAATGAACATGTCCATTACTTAACAGAGTTTCCATTAACCACTTTGTATTTTCTCTCCCAAGCCTACCCAAGTTGCCATCTGCAGGTAGACATTGTATTTTCCATTTTCTAGAATTTCATATAAAGGGAATCCTACAGGTTTCCTTGTTATGACTGTTTTCACTGAGTGCATGAATATATTTTTAGTATTATTCATGTGTGTGCAAAGGAATGACACTAAATAAAAATAAGGAAGGCTTTGTTATGTATTAGAGCTGCATTGTTTGTAAGAAACGTGGTTTTCTTTCTCACAATGAGAAAAAGTTGTTTAAAGTGGGAAGTGAAGTTGAAACTAAGTAATTTAAACAAATTCAGTTTCATATGAATTCATTATAAAAGAAAGAATTTTGAACCATCTGCATCGTACACAAGCTTCCACTGATACATCGTTCTAGATTTTTCTCTTATTTAGCTTTTTTCTAGTGTCTTTAAGCTATATCTTTGTGTCATAAAGGTTCTTAGGGAATTTTAAAAATCATTTTTTGTGGTAAAATTCACTTAACATAAACTTTATCATCTCATTATTTTAAGTGTTCAGTTCTGTGATATATTGGGATCTCCAGTGAAATAGAACCATCTGTGTATGTGTGTGAGCGCGTGCATTGTGTGTAGAGACAGAGAAAGGAGAGAGATTTTTAAAGGAATTAGCTGATGTGATTGTGATGGCCAGCAAAGTCTAAAATCTGCAGGGTAGGCCAGCAGGCTGGAGACCCAGTGAAGAGTTGCCGTCAAGACAAAAGGCAGTCTGCTGGTACAATTCCTTGTCATCTTTTTATCATGTAATCCTCAAACCAGGTGGCTCTTGAGAAAATGAAAATTTACAAAGGTCAGCAGGCATTATAGACCAGGAAGTCAAAAGGGAATAGTTTTAGAGTGAGAGCTAGGAAATGATCACAGAGGCCACTGTCTGGTTGTATTTTTAAAGTCCCAATGTGCACAATGTACTTCATGAAAAATTTAAGATAATTGTATCTGAATTTAAGTCTTTCTGTTTCATGATGTTCATGACAGTCAAAATTTAGAGATTTGAGGCATTAAGAGAAGATACTTAAAATATCTAAATGTGCCTATTTTTGTGTAATTTTAGACATACGAGTTTTAGATTCTTATTAAGAAATGTCAAAGACTCTAGAAATGAAGAAAATAAGAGCAGATAGAGGGACTTCCGTTTCCTGTCCTGGCGTGTAAGAAGCTGGAAGTTACTACTCCATCCTAACAGCAAGTAAAAAGCTGAAAATACTGAAAATCAACAACCCTTCTTAGGTTCCTGAGAGCAGTCTTGAGTTCTATTTTATATTTTCTGTACCCGTTGCTAATTTGTATAGTCAATCTCTCCTACCTAAAAAAATTAGTGAGATTTCTTGTTTTCTTAACTGGTCACATGTTGAACTTTATTTTAATTTTCACTCATTGTCCATCACCCACCCTACACCTTTGTCTTTGCCAGACCTTCAGCTAGGCAGAGGTTTCTTTGTTTTGGTTTGCTTTTTAATTTGGTGGATGAACCAAAACTTCAAAGCCAGAATGGTCCGACTCTCCAAGGGATCCTGTCTTCATCGTGTTGTTGCAGGTTTAATTTTGGACATGGATTTACCGTCACATTCCCTGGAGAATCCCCCAGATTCCGGACATAGTGCTCCAGGATTCCATTGAGAGCAGCAACTCAGTTTCCTCTAGTAAAAAAGAGTAATCATCATCACCTGGGCAGTAGAGTGTTTCACTTTTTTTCTAAGTGGCATGAGGAGCCCAAAATGACCAATTGGCTGTCTCATATCCCAATTCAGGTTTATAATATTATTCTTCTGGTGGAATTTTTCTCCCTTAAAGAAAAAGTCCTCCCAACATGCAGAATTTATCATTGAGGGGATGAGTAGCAGAAATTACTTGAGAGGGTTATTAGGTAATATAATGTGGAAAAGTAGGCTTGCTAGATTTAGTAAACAATATCTGGCCCAGTAAATTTTGAATTTTTCTAACTCCCTATGCACATATACACTGAAATAAGAGGGAAATGTTGCATGGGACATACTTATATAAAAATCATTTGTTGTGTTTCTGAAGGAAATTATAACTAAGTTTCATACCTCTTTAAGTATACTTACCTGGTAATTTGCTTCTTCTTAACTTTTCCTTGTTTTGTAGTATTTGTTTATAAAAATTCCTTGTAATTACCCTCTATATTCCATTTAGTTTGTTTCATAGTTTCCAGGGTAGTCTCATCCAATTTATTTGATTCCTTTGTCCACTGAACATTCCTTATGGAGACACAGGCTATAAGTAGCATTGTGAGCTGGAGGACAGATGATGCTGTACAGTGTGGAAGACCACTACAATTTCTCCTTTGATTTTTAAAAATCTTTTTCACCCACATTCTTCTTAATAACAATCTTATTTTATCGTCTTCTTTGCTAGTAGTGGAAAATTTATATCTCTCATGCTTAACTGTTATTACATGCTGTTTTATAGTTGACTGCCCATCATTTCCAATACTGATCGAACAATTGCACTGTGTCAACTTTGTGCAAAGCATTTCAAAAAGTGGACTACAAGAGACTTAAGGCATTCTAACAAATCAGTATAGGAACCGGAACGAAAATCATTAAATACAGGAAATACCCTGTGTAGACAGAACTGGCCACCCTATTGCAGATGTGTCTCATGAACCCACCACTGTTCCTGAAACTGAGTAGAGGTTTATTGAACACGTGTTAGAGAAGTAAATACACATGACATTATGGTTCTCCTATTTATTTTTTACATTTCCAGTAAGTTCTTCAAAATGTCATCTCGACCCTATCTCTCCAAGTTGTTAGAGTCCAACGTTTTCAAATGTGAAAAGGGAGCACTGTTTGGAGATAAAACCCTGAGTGTGGCCAAGGTTCTAGCACAGCCACAGGTGCAATTTCATTCTATGACTTTTTCAGACGTCTCTGTCTCTCAATCCAACTTCACTGAGATCTTAACTTTCTTTCGCCTGTAACATACGTTTCTCTACAATTTTTGTCAATTTTGTTGCATAGCTACATAATCATTATTAACTTTTTGTAATATCCATTTCATAAGTAATTTTCAGAGATAATTTCAACTCCCTGTGCATTCACTATTGCTGCAATTTCAGGTGAACTGCTAAATCAGTTTCCATAAAGGAGATGAGACCATGGAATGCCAAACCTTTGTTTCCCTGGTAAGATGCCCCCTTTGCACACAGGCTTCGACAGTTAGAAGGTCACCCGCTATCTTGGCAGAAAATGGCATGTGATTGTTTGCTCTCCTTTACAGACAGGTTTCAGATTTTAAAAGAAATGGAAAATATATCAGAGAATAATAAATATCTCAATAAATTTTACTTGCAAGGTCAGAAAGAAATCAATGATTATCAAGGCCAGAAATATATCCCTCTCCAACTCTCCCTTATGCCCTGTCTTTTCTTGCATATTGAAGGTCATGAAACATCTTCCAAAACTTCAGTCAACATGTCTTTGACAAGCAAGAAGATAGCTGATAGAATAGAGGGAACATACCTCAATTTAAAAAAGGCCATAAAAACCTACAGCTAACATCCTACTCAATGGTGAAAAGCTAAAAGTATTTCCTCTAAGATT